GAAAAGGGTGAATTTGGTTTGAAAAGGGTGAATTTGGTTTGAAAAAGGGTGAATTTGGTTTGAAAAAGGGTGAATTTGGTTTGAAAAAGGGTGAATTTGGTTTGAAAAAGGGTGAATTTAAAGTGAAAATGGTATATAAGCATGCTCACCATCAGGAAAGAACCGACTATGATCTCGAAGAGGATCGCTGTGCTACCACCGTGACCTAGAGTCAAGGAAAGGAAATACTAGGCTCAACTTTGCTACCGAAGTAAATATTTTAATTTGAAGCTGGGTTTTTTTAGTCTGCGAATGCTGGGGCGCGTCAGAATGGCAGACTTGGCCCGGCGTCAGCCCGTTTTCCACCAACTGTTGTCGCTTGCTCGCTTCAACAATTGATAGAGAACGATATGACGCCGCGCCAAATCAACCGCCTCAACGCGCTTCAGCATCCACAGCGAACAAGAATGTACAATGTTCATAACGGAAATGTTATGCACCTGTAATTTTCGCCACTTTGTATAAGCTATGGTCGATGGTAACATACCGCGGATCGAAACGAAGAAGTAGTCGTGATGGTCCTTCAGGAATATTCGACGAAGTTTTGAGAGCGGTTAATTTTTCTGCCATAGTTTTTACATCAGCCAACGACTTGGGAAAAAATGGAACTTCGACCATATCGAAAGATGAAAACGGCGGAAAACTGGTAGGAGAATATCCAGACAGTGTCGGTATCCTATCCGACGTCTTCCAGCCATCTGGCAACGGCCCAACACCCAGCTTCTCTTCAAAAACAAATTTCATTTTCTAATACCAAGAGCAGTAAGTTCTGCGTCCTCACCTAATCTAAGATTGCACAAAATCAACAGGTTTTCAGAGCCACTTTCATCTGCATGTGATTTCAAATGAAGTGCGAGAGATGCTGCCTGAAAATTCCACTACCATGAGTAGAACAGCATACGAAAAGAACCATTCCGACACCAGGTGGTGCTGTCACAGTATGAGACAGCAATGGTCACACTTGGGGAACCCGTCATGACACTAGTCACGACATAACAAGTCATGAAACATCATAAAACATGTTCTAACACACCTGTAAATGTGACATATTGTCAGATGACATGTTCTACAGTAGCGGGAAAAAATTGGAACAAGCGCGAGGGGCGCGCTCCACAATAATTTTGGAGGTTTTTTTTTCACTTGCATATAAAAGTTTTGGACACTATTCACCCTTTACTGCCCCAGTCATCCGAAATCCGGCCAGTTCTTGACCGACTTTTTTCTCCATGAGCGGAACTTGGCTGAAAATTTGTCTCCTGGGGTAGTGTGACCTCCTGAATATGAATATCACATCCGCTCGGCACGAAACTCCCGACGCCCGCGCCACAGACACCGGTGACTTGCGGTATTTTGGCGCCGGCGCCTGTGGCGCGGGCGCCAAAAGGTTTCGTGCTAAGCGGATGTGATATTCGTATTCAGGAGGTCAAACTACCCCAGGAGACAACATTTGAGCCAAATCTGCCCGGAGAAAAAAGTCGGTCAAAAACTGGCTCGATTCCGGATGACTGGGGCAGTAAAAGGTGAAAAAAATAGTGCCAAATTCAGTCTGCTCAATTGACGCAGGCCTGGAGAAGCTTTTGTCGTTGCACATTTTTGAGGAAATTTCGCGATAGGGCATGTCGCTACCACTTTGATATTGGATTCGTTTCCAATGTTTGTGAGGCTCGGGAAAGAACCTAGGGCTTTGAAACGTCCATAAAAAGTACAAGAAGAGGTCCCTCGTTCGATCAACCAAGTGGAACGACACACAGATAACCACCGACCAAGGCGCTGCGTACGGATGGAGATTATCTGTCGTTCCAGTTACTATGAAGGTCGGCAGAACGGTGGAAGCACCACTGAATCAAAAAGCTGTAACAATAAAGCATCCGCTATCGATAAACACTTTCTACGAGGCTGAACACATCCAGTTTCATTTAGGATCGCAGGGTATCTGAATGAGAAGTGGTCTACGCAGTGAACCATGGGGACAGCCGTGAAAATGGCGTTTTCATCCCCCCCCCCTCAGACAAGTCTGATACAAATTACCCAGCTCTGGAAGGGCAAAAAGTTTGGTTTTCTTGGGTGGGAACCGATCTGGGCTTTGCCCCACAGGCCACGCAGGCGGTAGGTGGCGCCATTTGTAACCACATTACCTCCGTTCCACCAATATATGGGTTATATTAATGCTGAAATATTATGTTCTCGAATACTGCTCCTAATATTGCTGGCTTGGAGGAGAACACTGGGTGGAAGTGTGATTTCAAAACTTGTTCCAAGTTTTTTTCCCGCGACTGCACGTCCAATGAATTACTACCTTGAACGGCGATACAGTACGTAAATGTTGCAATACACTTACTCTGTCCCATGGCATCAGAGAAACTAGTAGTTTCTGGTCTTCCCAGGGTAAACCTTTTAGAGTGTGGTAATCACTGGCAGCTACCTGATCCGGTGTTAAAGTGAATGCCGTCTTCTAAACAGCTCATTGAACTACTCAGTCATACATTCAGCCAACACAATAATTTGGTCGCACCTTTTCTTGAAGACCACTCGATACAACGGCAGGTCGCGGGGTTGCATCAATTGACGGGCTCTTTTCATGCAAGGATAAACAGGGTTTTTCTGGAGACTGTCCTGTGACTAAGACTGGCGGATTTACCTCTGTTAAGTTGATCTGGAATAGAATAAAAAGGTATTGTGGACAGCAAAAATGAGAAGTATACTGTTAACAGGAAAAAAACAACTGCCTCTTGAAAAGTGTAGAACGCCACCTGAACATGAGGCTCTTTGAGTCCGATTACTGACCGGGCGACAAAGTGCGGACATTCGAACACGATTTGTGATTTGATTAAGCTTTTCAGGGAAGCTGTCTGAGGGACCTTCGAACGCCTTAATTACAGAGGAAAGATCAGTACAGAAAGAAAATGCCCGGTAACCTTGCATAAGAGAAAAAACAATTGACTCATTTCATTGCATTTATCAGTACAACTCTATAAATGCATTAAATGTGTCAAATTCTTGATGTTTAGAATAAATCTTGGCTTTCCCTGAGAAGGGTGCTACATGACAAGGACCTACATGGCAGTGTCCTCGCCTTTTGAAGTGTGACTATTTTTTCTACTCCTTTTTTTCGTTGTTGAGTAACCCAGTTAGATGGAGAGCGCAGTTCGGCATGATGGTTCACTCCACCCCGAGCTTCTTGCCCTTCATCTGTACAAAACTCATTCGGTTATTTTTTGCACAGAGAGTCCTGCAACCTCCCCCCCCCGCCTCCTCGAACCACTTAGATCCTTTTTGCAAGAATATGTACTGTCGTTCAGCGATTAATAGACATGTCATGCACTGAATGAAGCTCGGCTTTTGTTGAATTCTACATAGCGTCTTCATCTTTAATATCCTTTTCGAAACTTTCTCTCCATAGATTTTTTCCAATAAAATTCTCAAGGGGGGGGGAAGATGATTCAAAGGAGTTGCTTAGTTTCCGTTTCGCACGTGTCCTTAGACGAAAACTAAATATATACCATTTTTAACTCTTAAAATCGGACACGTTTTCAAACCAAATCGGAACACTTTTCAAGACCAAAAGATCGGACACTTTCAAATCAAAGTTTGCAAACGCAAATCGGACACCTTTTCAACACCCAAATCGGACACCTTTTCAAGGCCAAATCGAAACACTTTTCAAACCTAAATGCAGACTTTTTTTTACAAATCAAAATTCGGACCACAACCCTTACACCATTAGGTGTTGAATAACTCGAGCCACACTAGGTACCGTGTCGCAGCCCATTAACCACGCCGCCCACTTCTCAGCGGCCGGAACAGGGTTTCCGAGATGCTTCATGAAATCTGCTCCCTCGACTTTTTTTCGTTTTTGCCCTTTGCACACACTTCAACTGAAAAAGATTGATACCTATACAGATCTGACTCCGCCCACTTTAACAATGAAGTTACGTAAGTTCTGAATTTTTATAACTTTTTTCGACGTAGTTCTTTTCACATCCAATCTTCACAAAACGAATAACCATGCACAGCACACCAGGCCCCGCCCCTCTGACCCGCCCACTTGTGTTATCGCGGAATTTTGGTTTTTCTTCCGGATTTTCGCTTTTTTAGGCTTTAGCGATTGGCTCCGCCCACCAATGGAAGCTCCGCCCACTTTGGGGAAGCCCCGCCCACTTTTCGAAAATGATGCAAATCGGCGGGCTAGTGTCCGTACTGGCGGAATTACGGCCTCTCCCATCGCTCAGAACAGGACACATAGAATAAAAAAAAGGGGAAAAACCAGAAAAAAAAGGAAAACTATTGATTCCGAGCGATGGGAAGAGCGACCGTAATCCGCCGCAGTAGCGGACACTAGCCCGCCGATCTGCACGCAGTTTTCGAAAAAGTGGCGGGGCTTCCCAAAGTGGGGCGGGAGCTTAAAATTGGTGCGGACCAATCGCTAAAAAGCCTAAAAAAGCGAAAATCCGAAGAAAACCAAAATTCCGCGATAAACACAAGTGGGCGGGGTCAGAGGGGCGGGGCCTGGTGTGCTGTGCATGGTTATTCGTTTTGTGAAGATTGGATGTGAAAAGAACTACGTCGAAAAAGTTATAAAAATTCAGAACTTACGTAACTTCATTGTTAAGTGGGCGGAGTCAGATCTGTATAGGTATCAATCTTTTTCAGTTGAAGTGTGTGTGCAAAGGGCAAAAACGAAAAAAGTCGAGGGAGCAGATTTCATGAAGCATCTCGGAAAACCCTGTCCGCGCTGAGAAGTGGGCGGGATAATGGGGCGGGGCTTGCAATAACACTTGTGGCTAGTGTATCAACCACCTAATGTAAGGGTGTGTCCCCATTCAATTTGAGAAGTGGTCCGAATTTGGTTTGAATAAAGTGTCCGAGTTAGCTTGAAAGTGTTCGACTTCTGGATTTGAAAAGTGTCCGATTTGATTTGAAAAGTGTCGATATTTGGTTTGCAAAATTGGATTTGAAAAGTGTCCGATTTGGTTTGAAAAGTGTCCGATTTAAAGTGAAAAATGGTATATGTTACATCCTCCATCTGCGCTCATCACTAACCATAAGGGAAAGGAACCACGTACTTCACAACATAACGATTCACAACTATTTACAACACACAATAAATCGGGCCGGTGCCACGTAATGGGTGGGACGACTGATCCTACTCCTGGCAGCATTTTCAACAATAATGCTTGGTCAGTCCGAGAAGAAAACTACTAGTGGTTAAAAGCCAGGTATGCCCACTGCATGGCCCTTGACACCGCCCTGACTAATTGCGAAGATATCAACTGTACATATGAAATGAGTTAGTATATATGTCATAAGCAAAAGCGACTCAGGCGTGAGCCATAAGAATTTTCACAGAATTTCGCAGGTAGCAATTCATAAAAGGACACACCTGAATGCTGTGAGTTTGTCACCTTCAACTCTCGGAGTCACTATGCACAACTCTACGTCTCTCACTACTCCATGCTTTATTTGCTTCTTGAATTCATCAGCTAGCGATCGCTGACGACTGGTGACAAAATCCACAAGGTTTCGTAATATCTGTATCAAAATAGCTGGATTGTAGGGCAGGTACACAAAGCAGAACAGAACTTGAGAGCCCGCTCATACCTTGCGGATGTGGGTTCAAACTTTGCGGCGGGAGACGGGCAAGACAGTCGTAATTTGTCGCTCCGCCGAGCGCGGCGATGGACGATGGACGCGGCGTTTTCTTTACTCGTGTTAACCTGTCGACTGGAGCACCGGACTTCATGTAGACCCCGTCATCGTAGACATTCATGACTATTTTCGGTTCTGAATTGCCTGTTGTCGCCATCTACTACCTGGAACCATCGTCATTTGCGGGCGCGACGCCCACCTACGCGGCGAGTTACGATTCCCTTGTCACATACCCCTTTGCGGCAACGTCTACCAGCGACCACTAGCCCGTACCCTTAGACGGAAACTAAATATATGCTATATCCTCCCGTGCTCATCACTAGGGGAAAGGAGGAATCACGTAGTTTACAAGCAGCGACCATTAGCGTCTCGAGGGATTAGGAAAGCATGGATGTCGATCTAGCGTTTACCAGCGTCCACAAGCGACCATGAATACGGTATTGTGTAGGAGTACGGTCGGCTGCGCACGCCACAATTTCCGTCTTGCTTCCCATACTTTCTACTCCTGGTCGCCGGTGGACGGTAGACGGTAGAGCGATATCCACAGTTTCCTAGTCCTTCGAGACCCAGATGCTTGCTGGCGGACGCTAACT